TTCAGTCTCACTCTGTCGCCCAGACTGGAGTGTAGTGGCCGCTCCCGGCCACCGCAGCCTCGACCTGCTGGGCTCCGGCGATCCTTCCGCCTCAGCCTTCCAAGTAGCTGGAATTATAGGCGCGCGCTACCACGCCCGGCTAATTTTTTGATTTATTGTAGAGATGAGGTCTCGTCAAGTTGCCCAGGCGGGTCTCGAATCCGCGGGATCAGGCAATCCACTCACTCAGCCTCCCAAGGCGTGGGATTATAGGCTGAGCCACCGAGCCCGGCTGTCTTACAACACTTTAAAAAAGTATTTTATTTCATTATCCTGAACATTCTTTTTTCTCCATAATCTCTGAAATTGGAATGTGGTATTAAGATGGATGGTATCAGACATGGTGGCTTGTGCCTGTGATCATAGCTGAAGAAGGAACACTGCTTGAACCCAGGGGTTCAAGACTAGATTGAGCAACATATCAAGACCTCATCTTTACAAAAAAGTTTTTTTTAATTAGCCAGATGTGGTAGTATCTGACTATAGTCATAGCTACTTGGAAGGCTGAGGCAAAAGGATTGCCTGAGCCCAGAAGGTCTAGGCTGCAGTGAGTTGTGATCATGCCACTGTACTCTAGCCTGGGTAACAGAGTGAGACCCTGACTCAAAAAAAAAAAAAGATAGTGAATCAGAGTATAATTGGCATTAATTGGCATTACCTTTTCCCCTCTTAGTGATACATAATGGTGAGTTACAATTTTTGATAGCATTTTAGATTTCTTTTTTTTTTTCTTGTTTCTAGAGACGTAGTCTCACTTTGCTGCCCAGTCTGGTCTTAAACTCCTGGCCTCTAGTGATCTTCCTGCCTTGGCCTCCTAAGTGCTAGGATTACAGGCAAGAGCCACCATGCTGGCCTACATTTCTAAATTAAATATATGCTCTATCAGGAGAAGCTGATGTGAGCTCAGTTATAACAGGAAATCTGTCACTAATAATGGCTAAAATCGTAAGGCTTTTAAATTATTTACTTTCTAATATAATTAGGGCAAATTCAAAAAGATCCTATAACTTCACTTTGGCAATGAGATGCTTTCTGAGGAGCAGAATTAAGGCTGCAAGTATATGTAGCACCAGAACCATCGTATCTAGGCCTCAGCCCACACTGCAGCTGCACTGGCAGGGACGTGCTGGGCTGCTGAGGAGAGGAGTGAGGATGGCACTTCCAGGCCATGGAAATCCGGCTCCTTAAGCCGTTTTTCTTCCAGAAGAGCCTGAAAAGTCATGTTCTGAGGGACACTGTTATGAGGCAGCAATAAAGGTATCTCATGGTACATAGTTTTCCTGTACTAAAAAAGCCAAATACAAGTCATTTCTCCTGGTTACCTGGATCAACTTCTCTGGGACTAGGTGGAGATGTAGGAGACAGAAGCTGATCAATCGTTCCCTGCTAATTAGCTTCCTGTTCCCAAGTAGCCTCCAACAACTTTTTTCTTTTTCTTGAGTTGGAGTCTCACTCTGTCACCTGGGCTGGAGGGCAGTAGCACGCTCCTGGCCATTGCAGCCTCGACCTGCTGGGCTCCTGCGATCCTTCCACCTCAGCCTTCCAAGTAGCTGGAAGTACAGGTGTATGCTACCATGCCTGGCTAATTTTTGATTTATTGTAGAGATGAGGTCTCACCAAGTTGCCCGGGTGGGTCTCGAACCTGCAGGCTTAGGCAATTCTCTCACCTCAGCCTCCCAAAGTGCTGGGATTACAGGCTGAGCCAACCAACAACTTTTTTCTAGAAGAAAGTTTTTAAGAAGGTAGGAAGTAGAAAGATAACTCCTCTTAGGAACTATACCAACATGACCCAACAAACACTGGTGATGTTTTGAGTTTAAGAAGCGGTGTAAGGATTTGAAAAACACATACACTAATGAGCTGTGGTGCAGTCAACACTGGCATTGCACTGAGATTTAGCTGTTTCTCTGCTAGCAGCTGTTCAGGTAGGGTCTCCTGGTGTAGTAGAAAGCGCTCCTGCTCAGCCATTTCTGGTATTCAAGATAAGAGAGAAAGAGAACATGATGGAACTTTTACTTCTGCTCTCTTTTGCTGTCATAAAACAAATCTGAATTCAAGGGTAACCCTGCCACTATTCAAAGATTTTAGGACGTTTCTAACTCTAAATTCTAGATTGCTGATTATGTTTACAACGTATTCATGGTTTGATCCAAGTCATATGACCTTTCACAGTGAGCAGAAACAGCTAGGAGTGATACCTGTTAAGGAAATACACTCTACTGTTTAGAGAAGTTGCAGAGCAGATGGCTACTTCGTGAGCTCTAAGTTCCCCAAATGTGGGCCTACCCAGTCATACTTTACAGTAACTCAGTAAAGTTCTTCTCACCAGAGTTTATATTGTACAGTTGACCCTTCAGTGACACAGGGGCTGGAGGCGTTAAGCCCCTGAACAGTTGAAAATCTGAGTATACCTAGTGACTCCCTAAAAATTTTACTACTGCTGCTGCCACAGCTGCAGTGAAAGCTTCACAGCTTTGTTTCCACTGTTTTCTGCAATGGTCCCTATGCTGGATTCATTTATCTTGAAATGGTGGACAACTGCAGTTGCAGACCTGAATCTACAGTATAGATCATGCAATTCAATTTTCCTGTGTAATGTCATGACCTCTCTGCTTCTTGGGAGTACTTCAGCATCCCGAATGGCACTTCACATGGGTGCCATGCTGTTATTCAAGGTTTACAGTATGGAACTAAACAAAAAGAAGAAACGTGCAAGAACCATGAGAGATTACTTTTTACTAAAGAAGCTGCTCACTCGATGATTACAGTCACAGGACAACTAAAGCAGATACTCACAAGACTTCCGCTCACCTCAACAGCAACAGGAGGTGGCTACAAAACTGCTGCTTAGCACAGCATGTACCACTATAATTTTATGCAGCTGTGACTTCATACTGCATCTTTACAGTCGGTTACCTTTCTCTTGACTGTGAATGGCTAGCACATGCGGTCTGTGTTTGTGTGCATGCATTTTGATAAATCTTAACTTGTTGTAATAGATTTGTATATATCTCAAAGTAGCAAATAATAAAATAGACCAGTATCTACATATATTTTATACATTCATGACATACATTTCTCTTAATTTTTTTATATTTCTAGGCTATATGATTCATCAAATTGTTAAAAATTTCCCCCACATTTTATAATACATATATTGAAACAAATCCATGTCTAAGTAGACCCACAAACTTCAAAGACATGTTGTTCAAGGATCAACTGTAGTTTCATTCAAAAGGGAAATGACTTAGAAGCTACCATGAATGTATCACAAGAAAAACAAAACCAGGAAGAACATGCCCCAAAACTACTAACTAGCATGGGTTATGTCCCACTGGTGAGGCAAGGGGCTTCTGCCTGCCATGAATTATCCAGGCTGCAGCCTGAGACTTGGCTCTGCCCAAAAGGAATGTGCTGGGCTACAGGGACAAAGATTTGAACACTATGTAGTCTCATAAATACAGCAGTCACAGCAAAAGGAAGTGACCAAAGCATGGACATTCTCATTCAAATACTGGCAGCATTTTACATGATCTCAAATTTGGAAAAACTAAAGGGAACATTTTTGGCCATTTCCATACTGAGAAAAACAGACTGGGAGGACAGGGAGACAGGAGAGGTAGAGAGAGGTTTCTCCCCATAATATACAGAAGTTGCAGACATGACATTTCACTTCTAAATACTCAGCATGTATCTCCTAAGAACAAGGACATTCAACCACAATATCACTGTCAGGCCTACAGAATTAATATCAATAGAGTAATATCATCTAATATTAGGCAAGTTCAAATATTCCCAGTTGTCCCCAAAATATTTCTCAGAGTTATTCTGGTTACTTTGGGGGTGATTCAGAATCCAATCAAGAATCTCACACTATATTTGGCTGTCATATGTCATGGCTCTTAGGCTCTTTTCATCTGAAAGAGGCTCTTATCCTTTTTTGTCTTTCATGTTGCTAAAGTTCTGGAGAGGCTAGGCCAAATGTATCATTAAAATGTCTCACCATCAGGATATCTGACTGTTCCCTTGTGATTAGATTCAGGTGGGACACTTTTGGCAGCAATACAACATAGGTGATGGTATTTACTGCCACCTTCCACCCCTTCAAGAAGGACACCATGTGGACTTCTTATTGTTGCTGATGGGTCTATTAGGTTTGTGTACTGATACACTGAAACCATGGGAATATCCTGTTCCCCTAGCCCCTAAATGCAAAGGTTTCAGCAACCTTTGATGATCAATTCTTCTTGGTTGCAAAAATGGTGACTTCTATACTTCTTTCTACACTTCTTAGTTGGCATTCTTTTATAAAGAAGCGTTTCACTGACTCCTTTCACTTTGGGGAATCACTGTGGATTCATACATTTTTCTTTTATAAACTGAAACTTAATTATTTATTACCATTCTTGCTGATGTTCAAATTATCCCCAAACTTGGCCAGCAGGGACTGTTCAAGGTTCTTGTGCTTTTTTGACATCTCTACATTAATCTTGCTTTCTAGCCTATTAAGACTCTCTAAGATCATTTCTTCAGTAAGCTCTTATTTCCTTTTACTGAAAAATGCTAGCTAGAAGTCAAAATATGGAAGTAGGTAAACTTGTGCCCCTGGGGTGTCATGGTTTTTAGGCCTCTTGAGAGGAAAGGGACAAGAAATATATGTAAGCTGGGCATGGTGGCTCACACCTATAATCCCAGCACTTTGGGCAGCGGAGACAAGAGGATTCCCTGAGCCCAGGGGAACAAGACCAGCCCAGGCAACCTGAAGTCACCTTGTCTCTACAGTAAATAAAAACATTAGCCAGGTGTTGTACTCCAGTCTGGGTGACAGAGTGAGACTCTGACTCAAAAAAGAAAAAAGTATTTTTTTAACTGACACATGATAAGTGTACATATTTATGGGGTACAATGTGGTGTTTTGACATTGTGTAATGATCATATCAGGATAATTAGCATATCCATCACCTTAAAGAAGAAAATGTATATTTTTAAAAAATTAGATATCTTCAAGTGTAAGGCTACAAGGTTCTTCCTCACCTTCCTTTCATATTTGTATCCTCATACTCCTTGGTTGTTAAAAATAATACAGGCATCTATAGGGACCTGTGGGTGACTAGCTCCAGAACCCCCAAGGATACCAAAATCCTTAAGTCTCTGACATAAAATGATGTTGTATTTGCATATAACCCACACACATATACTTCAAATTATCTCTAGATTACTTATACTCTCTAATACAACGTAAATGCTATGTAAATAGTTGTTATACTACATTGGTTTTTAAAATTTGCATTCTTTTTCACTGTGATTTTTAATTGTTTTTCCAAACATTTCCCATCTGTGGCAGGTTGAATCTGCAGATGCAGAAGCCAAGGATACAGAGGGCTGACTCCACTATAGTTCATTATTTCTCTATCTACAACATATATAACATAGTTTCAGAATTACTGCACAAAGTACCACATATAAACAAATCCACTGTGTAAAGGTCAAGATTTCTTTGTAGTTCTTTTAGGTCTTAGAATATGTATTCCTAAGGGTGTATAATCACAGTACTCCCTTCAAAATCATTTGAATTTATTCTTTGGGCATTCTTAATTTAAAACACAAATGACTTTTCTCTCTACAAAGAAAAATAATAATAATTCCAAGCATATATGTAACTATAAATGGACACTAAATAAAAAGCATCTTTTAAAGGTAGAGATAGGTTATTTCTAGTAGATCCTACTAACTGTTAAAAACACATCATAACAGTTCATTGACAGCATGACCAACTTGTATGTCTTCTTGGGCAAATTCTTTCTTTTACCTTCAATTTTTTCCTGCAGTATATCCTCCGAAAAGTCTGAAGCTAACGCAGCCAATTTACTCAAGCCAAGAAGGGTTTTTTTCTTTGCAAAGTAACGAGTTTCCATATTTGCCAAACTCAGAAGTGTTGTATGAGCCTACAATAAACAAAATAAGATCCTGGGTACCAATCAAGTTGAAAGAAAGGCTAAGTACATCCCAAATTTGTTTTCTTCCCCTAAGTCATATCAATGAATGAGAAGTTCATAATTCGCAAGTATAAAAATGCCATAACATTGAGAGTAATTACACAGCAGAATACCAACCATCCGCACTAATTACGGGAAAAAGAGACACATACAAAACATCTATTCTAAGGCAATTACATTCTCACTTGATCATCCTGTCAAGAACAAACTTTAAGATTTATTTGTGTGCTGTTTTACTCATAATCTAAATCTTATTGTTATAAAAACACAAGCACTACAAAAAAAAGGTCAATGAGCGTTATTTACACATTAGTAAAATTTTTATAATTTTAATATAGTCAATCACAATGAACAATATTTTTTAACTGAGATATTAGAAGTAATGGCAATGCCCTCACAAATCAATAATGTATTATGCAAATTATGTGAGACAACTGGAGGTGTACATTGTAAATAACCTTTAAGTAGTATTTTAAAATAATTTTTTATTGTAAATTGACAATTATAATTGTGTATACTTAAGGGTAAAAAAAGTGATGTTATGATATATGTATATAATGTGGAATAGTGGAATCAAGCTATTAACATATCCATCACCTCACATACTTGTCATTTCTGTGGTGAGAAAATGTGAAGTTTACTCTTAACAATTCTGAGATATATAATACACTATTATTAACTTTAGTCAGCATACTGTGCAATATATATCAAGCAACTTCTTCCCCCTGCTAACTAAACTTTGACCATTTCCCCTACCTTCCAGTCCCTGACAATCACCATCTACCCTCTGTTTCTATGAGTTCAACTATTTGAGATCCCACATACAAGCGAGCTCATGTCATATCTGTTTCTTTGTGCCTGGTTTATTCACTTAGCACAACATTCTCCAGCTTCATCAACGTGGTTGCAAATGACAGAATTTCTTTCTTTCTTAAGGCTAAATATTATTCCACTGTGTATATAAACTGCACCTTATTTATCCATCTACATGGATGGACAATGAGGCTGATCCTGTAACAGCTATTGTGAATAGTGCTCAATGAACATGGGAGTGCAGATGTTTTTTCGACACAATTGATTTCAAATCCTTTGGCTATACACCCAGAAGTGGGACTGCTGGATCATATGGCAACACAATTTTTAAGGAACCTCCATAATGGGTGTACCAACTTATATTCCCACCAACAGTGTACAAGGATTCGCTTTTCTCCACATCTCCTCCAACACTTGTTATCATCCAACTTTTTGACAACAGCCATGTAAGGTGACAGCTCACTGTGATTTTAATTTGCACTTCGCTAATGTATAGCAATGCTGAACATTTTCCTCACGTATCTGTTGGCCACTTTTAAGTTTTCTTTTGAGAAATGTCTATTCAGGTCTTTCGCCCATTTAAAAATTTTGCTTTCTTGCTGCTGCGCTGAGTTCCTTGCATGTTTCGGGTCGCAACTCCTAACAGGTGTACAGCTGTAAGTAGCATTGTAATCACTGACTGCCAAATGCATTAAAGTTAAATGACTCGCAAATATCCACCCCATATAAGTCAACTTCTTACCTTTTCTAATTCTTGGCTATTAATTTCGTGTAACCAGCTGAGATGCTCATGAGCCTGCAGAAAGCTCGCCAGCTGTCCATGCTGAGAGACGGGCTGAGACAGCAGTTTGCCTCGCTTTCCCTTCTCCAGATACCAACGGAATAGGAAGTCTGAAAAATTCTGCAAATCACAGAGCCCACTGTCCCTTACACGTAAATAAAACAGCTTTCAGAAATACATTTCTGATGGTAAAATATAAATTTCTTCCAAAGGCCTCCAAAACAGAAATCCTGTTTCAAACAACAATTTCCTGTATTGTAGGATCACTTACTTTGATTATCTCATTTGACAAATGTATAAATTCAGATTTCTTGCTCAAGATTACTGATGTAGTTAATGGCAGAATTTTGAAGTGTGTTGGCCAATATGGTGGCCACTGGCTATAGTAGTTATTTAAGCTTAAGCTAAAAAATAAAGTTTAAATTTAAAATTCAGTTTCTCAGACGCACTAGTTACATTCCAAGCCACATGTGGCCAGTGGCTCACAGGGACAGCACACACAAACAACATCTCCATGATCACAGGAAATGCTATTGGACAGCACTGAGACTATATAACATTCTGGATTAAGAGACTCAGAAGTAGAGTTCTGTGCCAGTTGGCCACATGGGCTGGCATGATAAACTGGAACCTTGAGAGGACCAAGTACCCAGTTAGTTATCCTCACTAGATGTTTGCTGAGTGTTGGGATACTGTGAAAAAGTCTAAAGCTAAAGCAGTCAATTTACTTAAGCCAAGAAGGGCTAGAAAGAAAGGCTGAGCTAGAAGGGAAGACTAAAATCTCCTACAGTCTCATGGCATTTAAGAGATACTTCCATGTAAGCATGGATCCTGCTATGAACACAGCGTCTTCCCAAAAGACTTCTGAAACCAGAAGTGAAATAAATGCAACGAAAGCTAAGACTAAGCCCTGGACCACCTGAGGACTGAGTAACCTGTCTCTCATCTAAACTGTCTAAAAGAGAAAAGTGAAAACACTCCCAGAGGAAAAATAATATTGATTTTCATCTTTAAGGATTTTTTTAAAATGTGCAATGTTCAAAACTCAATTCAAAATTTATCAGATATAAGAAACAGAAAAATATGACTCAAGCAACATAAAAAGCAGTCACCAGAAATAGACCCAACGAAGATCAGACACGGAGTTAGTACAAAAGGTTTTAAAATAACTATTAAACATGTTAAAGAAAAGAAAAGCTCACCGCATCAACAAGGGGACCTGCATAATCAATGTTTGTATACCTAACCCTGAATTGTACCCCACATCTTTATAATAAAAAAAAAAGAAGCCGGGCTCAGTGGCTCAGCCTGTAATTCCGCGCCTTTGGGAGGCTGAGGTGAGTGGATTGCCTGAACCCACGGGTTCGAGACCAGCCTGGGCAGCAAGACCTCATTTCTACAGTAAAATCAAAAAATTAGCTGGACGTGGTAGCACGTGCCTATAATTCCGGCTACTCAGAAGGCTGAGGCGGAAGGATCGCCGGAGCCCAGTCGGTTGAGGCTGCAGTGGCTGGAAGCAGCCACTGCACTCCAGTCTGGGCAACAGAGTAAGACTCCAACTCAAAAAAAAAGCAAACAAACAAACAAAAAAAAGACAGAAAGAAATTTAAGAAAAGCAATATTGTGAAAATGATGGAAAATGTCAACAGAGAATCTACAAAAATAATTTTAAAAATCATGATCAGCTGGGCTCAGTGGCTCAGTCTGTAATCCCAGCGCTTTGGGAGGCCAAGTTGCGTGGATTGTCTGAGCCTGCAGGTTCTAGACCCACCTGGGCAACTTGGTGAGACCTCATCTCTACAATTAAAAAAAAAAAAAAAAATCAGCTGGGTGTGGTAGTGCATGCCTGTAATTCTGGCTACTCGGAAGGCTGAGGCGGAAGGATCGCCGGAGCCCAGAGGGTCAAGGCTGCAGTGGCCAGGAGCGTGCCACTGCACTCCAGTCTGGGCAATGGCGTGAGACTCCAACTCAAAAAAAAAAAAATCATGATTGGGGAAGTATCTACTTTAGCGCTATTGTGAAATACTAGATAAGCCACATCCAACAACCAGCAATTAATCAAGCAAAATAAATCACACCCAGCCAATGAAATACTATAATGGCATAAAATGCTATTGTAGAATATTTAATGACAGACAAACGTTTACAAAGTATTAAGTAAAAACAGCAGCTGAGCACAGTGGTTCATGCCTGTAATCCCAACACTTTTACAGGCTGAGGTGAGAGGACTGCTTGAGACCAGGAGTTTGAGGTCAGTCTGGGCAACATAGTGAGACCTCGTCTCTACAAAAAATTAGCTGGGCATGGTTGCATATGCCTGTAGCCCCAGCTACTTGGGAAGCTGAGGTCAAAGGATCACCTGAGCCCAGGAGGTCAAAGCTGCAGTGAACCATGATTGCACTACTTCACTCTAGCCTGGGTGATACAGTGGGACCCCCAAATTAAAAAAAAAAAAAAGCAGCTGACAAAACATATTTGTTTCTAATACATGGAGCAGGAAGACTGGGAGAATATAAAACACACATTCAAAACGGTTCTCTCTGGGTGCTAGAATTATGAGTGATTTGGGAGAGTATTCTGAATTTTACACAATATAACTTTTACCGTAAGAAAACTATATGCCTTTCTTTAGTAATCAGCAGACTGAATAAACTGACTTTAAGGAACAACTTAAATTCACCTAGACAGTGAATGGAAATTCAAAAAAAAGTAAGAGGCATGATATCAAACCCAAGGAAAACAGGAACATTAGGTGTATATAAATCTGAGCTCTCTAAAAGTCATATCCTATGTCCCCAGTATCTTCTGTCCAAATTCTTAAACTTTTACCAATATTCACCTACTTAAGTACTTTTATCGTAACTAAAAAATATAAAGACAGAAATGAGAATTTCATAGTTTCCAAAGGTCAAAGAATCTTTGACTGTACTTCTATATATAGAATAGTCTGCTAAAATTACAAAGAAACATAACATACAAATTAGTAAGTTCGCATCGAAATTAACTTTGAAAAGACTGTACCACGTTCCCAGAGCCCCATCACAGATTTGAGGGGCAAAGCCTTGCTAGAGGACCCAGGGGCCATGTACCCAACACTCAGCACCTGATCTGCAAACTGGGTCATGTAGCGCTGCAGTCGGCTCTGGTTGTCGGTCTGCTCACACATCTGCACCAAGACATCAAAGTCACAGTATTTCTCTGCTAGAGAAGCAGCCCACATGTACTGGCCTAGTGTGACTGTGGAAATGAGAACAAATGGGAAAAGATTCTGTCAGCAAAATGTGAAATATGCCGTAAAACCTATTACTTGAAATAGTACCTTTATTTCTATTGCGCACTAAGAATCACTAATGGAACAGAAACCTTCCTGGTCACTGGCGTTTAGTTTCACATCCACTCGCTAAAGATGCAAATTCAGTCCTTTGCTTCACTGCTGCCACTCCCAAAGCCACTCCCTTCCTTCAGGCACCAGCAATACACACTCCTCCCAACCCTAGCCCGAAAAGAGCATGTCCTTGGCCAAAGAGCCACACTATCTCATCTGTACCCGTGACCAGCCTTTAATCAGGCTCTACTCTGAGTCTGGTTATTACATGTAAAGGTCCAAGATGCTAAGCTCTCAGAGGGCAATCTCCACATATATTGTTAATTTATTCATTTTAAAAATCATTTTCAGTATCATCTACAGTACTTGTACCTAGGAAGTACTGAAAACAAAAGCTGAATAAATGAGCACAGGAAGCATATTTGCTTTGCTTTGTGTTCTTGATTACAGTTGGATTAGCACTACTACACTGAATGCAACACATTACCTATTTGGCTCTCTCATCCGTCTGCAAATTTAAAGGCCTGTAGCCCGGAGGCGGCCAGACTGGTCAGTGGTGGTGGTAGTGGCCATGTGGTGGACGCACAGATGCAGATCTTTGTGAAGACTATCACCCTTGAGGTTGAGCCCAGTGACACCATCAAGAATGTCAAAGCTGAAGTCCAAGACAAGGAGGGCACCCCATCTGACCAGCAGCGTCTGGTATTTACGGGCAAACAGCTGGAGGATGGCCGCACGCTCTCAGACTACAACATCCAGAAAGAGTCCACCTGCACCTGGTGCTGTGCCTGTGAGGTGGCATCATTGAGCCTTCCCCCCTCAGCTCAACCAGAAGTACAACTGTGACAAGATGATCTGCCGCCAATGGCCACACACGCCTGCACCCCCGTGCCGTCTGGCAACTACTGCAAGAAGTACGGGCACACCAACAACCTGTGCCCCAAGAAGAAAGTCAAATAAAGCCCTCGCTGGCTCTTCCAGCAAGGCAGCCTCCTGCCCTGGCCCATGGCCCTGGGTCCTCAATAAAGTTTCCCTTTCATTGACTAGAACAGTAAAAAATAAAGACCTGCAGCCTTGCCAAATATCATGCACTTACGAAGAGGAGATAAGAGATCTGATCTCTTCTGTAGGTATTCCATCTCCAGATTGCTATATCTTTCCTGATCACTGGATTTATCCAGAGACTTAAGCTGAGAAACATAACCATCCAGGAAGCAATCGATCAGCGCTACCAGCTGCTCTGTCACGACATTTCGGAGGTTGCTGTCTGCCTGTGGGTAAACCATCTTCAGCACAATCCCATGCTGACGTACTATTACTGTTCGGATACCAGTGGGACCACTTGTTGCTGTAAAATCACACAAAGTAATATGGTAAGTAAGGCGTCTAGTAATGGCTAGAGGAAAGACCACTTGACTAAAAAGTATGTCGCTTCACCACTGCTGGAAAAATCTGTCACACAGCGGTTCAAGTGATACTTGTCTATATCCTGCCGGAACCCTTTCTTCTCCATGGTTTCCTCAGCAGAGCCAGGAAATCAGGATTCTTCTTCCTTCAAAATTCCTTTACAGTGACTTCTGCTACTTGGGGTACTAAATCAACATAACCTATAGTCCATACACATCTCCAGAACCCGGATCTGCTTCCATGAATAACTATTTGAACTAAAACCTAGAAGATGCATAGTAAGTACCTGTTGGGAGCCGGCCCCAGAGGCCCACCTGAACGTTAGGGATCAAGGGTGGGCTGTGGACCCTGAGACCACTAGGTTGTGTTCAGGATCTGTTGGCCCATTTCCTCTTCCCTTTTTTTGCTATTTGGCACATCTCATCAGAAGGAGCTCTGCTGACCAAACCTGAAGGCTCTGTGACTGTGACAGGCATGGCTAACTCTAGAAACTCATTGTTCCTGTTTCCCATGAACTGCGGTTTCAGCTTAGGTATTAGTTATAATTGAGACTCGGGTCACATTTGGGAGCCTTTAATATGGTACAAGCTTCTTTATAAGATTTAAAAGTATATTTGTAGAATTAGTATATACATATGGAGAGCTGTTTTCAGCTTTAGATGGTATAGATGATTATCTAGAGTTATCAGAAATGGCCCAGAACAAACTTTGGACTGGGCCACATTCCTAAGGGCCCAGTGCATACTTTGGTCTGGGCTGCATTCTTTTAAACCAGTTTTAGCTACAGTTAGTGTAGGGTTTTCTACTTATAGAAATTGAATTTATTTTATTCATAGAAAGTATTGTAGAATAGGTTATGTTACGTCAGTGAATTATGTTAGTTCAAGCATGATGAAACGTGATATTTTGAGGTTTAATAAGAATACAGCTAACTTTAGAAATGTCATTGTCCCCATTTTCTTTTCTTTCTTTTTTGAGTTGGAGTCTCACTCTATCACCCAAACTGGAGTGCAGTGGCCACTCCCGGCCACCGCGGCCTCGACCTGCTGGGCTCCAGTGATCCTTCCGCCTC